ACTCCTTCTAGAAGATAGTAGAACTTATAAATTCCTTTTTGAAAACAAGGACACCTGCCAATGATGCACCTCATAAATAGAATATTTATTTTCGATTAGTGATAGAAACCCTTTTAGCCAATATCGAATTAAATAGGTTTGGAATGTTATTTCTAACAACTAATTAATAATAATTTGCACTCCGTTCTAAGCGAATATTGCACCAAAGTGTTTATTAAAAACAAGTTTTTCGCTAGATATTTTTACGGAGAAGCTGTTCAGTTGGTGCGTCCTTTTCAGCAACTACTAAATAATGTGGTTCTTGGTATTTAAAGGTTTATGGATGCCTCAAGTTAACGCATTTTTTTCTGCCTTAGTGCCAACACAGCTGCGGCCATATCTTCAGGAATCTAGTTTTCTCTCTTTTTAGGATTTTTTTTTGGATGGCATTTCTGAAAAAGTAAAAATCAAAAAATAATATTGAAATATTTCAAATTTGCATCATTCATTGCATCATAATATTCAAAATTAGCTACATGAAGGCCTACGCCATAATCCGTTGAAAAAATATATGCGTTGCTTACCGGAAAAGCACAAAAAGCACAAACTCATTACATAACCTTATACTTACCTGAAGACTCAACTAATGTTGTCGATTTAATTCCAACATTTTTTCTACAATACAAATATTATTTAGTGCAAATGAAGCAACTATTTAATTTAATTTTAATTAATTGCTATTTTTCTCATAGCTTATGGATGCATCCTATCCTTCCCTAATCATTAACCAGCTAAACTAATCAAAATTATTATCGAAAAAATCTAATTAAAATAATGTTACTGTTCTGGCATAATTCTATTACACTGTTAGGATTATTATTAGAGCCGATATCAGTTCCTTTCTGGTAGATCGAAAACGTATTTAGGATCGAAATTAAACAAAAGGTAGGCAAATTGACGAATGTATTTTTATTGAAACTATTATGCTATGTTTCAATTTGCTCTGTATTGATAATATAAATTCGTATAAAAATAATAATACATTTGAAAGTAATCATAATCATAATATGCTTACATGCTTTCAATTCTATACAATTAGAATTTATTGAGCAGTTGCTGTCCATAAACGTAATATACCTAATTCCGTATTTCCATTTTGCCGAATTTAACTTGAACAGTCGCGCCTATATCTAGATACGTCGATATTCCAGGACATCTTACTTTGAGCTGCCGTTCCGTTGGATTCGGCAATCGACAATAACTATCTAAATATGCCACCCACAGGGTTCTCTCAAAAGTTTATATAATATAATAATATCAAAAATTGGCACTTTTAGACTTTTGACATGACAATTATTAAAAAGTTTAAAATTAAATTGCCTTCTAGTTGCGTATAGGTTAAGATGTTTTCAAAGTGCCGCAAGTCCACTAAAATTTGTTTGAGGAAAAACGTAATTCATATCACACATCTCACTAAGAGAGATTATGTCGCGGAACCACAAGAAGTAAGTAACACGCAAGTAATTCGAGTATATTGTAAAATGTATTGAGGTGGAAAATTTCAATATTTGACTTGAAGTTTTCTTTTATTACAATTACCAAAATTGTTATTGTCAAATATTACTTTTTATTATGAGAAACTGAAAAAATACCTTGAACTTTTTAAACGCAAATAATCAATGGTATCTTTTCAACGATAAATTGAACATTCTTTCAGATTTTCATCATGTCTCAACCATAACCATCTAAGCAGGTAGTAGATAAAAAAGTATGATTCTATTTATCTAAATAATATCGTGAAACTAGGGCACTATATCAGCTCGTACAAATCAGTGCACATTTGTAATTGTCATGTCAATAAACTTAAAACTAAAACAACTTTTTTTCAGTGCAAATGAACCAACTATTGCCATATTTATCTATAAATGTTAGTTTCGTTTTATTGTAATTATTCCATTAGACCATACGTTCGTCCTGCTCTCACCTAACCAAGACTAATATCACAAAAACCTCATTGATGGTACGATAGAGCGAACGTAATTTCACGTGACCGATTGGAAACGTCCGAGGACCCGAAGCCACCGGATCGTTTGGAACGGGTGCCAGTGGCGGTGCATAATTCATATTTGATGAAGCACTTTTACTTTAATACCATTTTTTTTTAACAACAGAAATTTTCGAAGGAGTGGAAGTATAATTATAGCACTATTTAATTACATTTTAGATGTTGGTCAGATTGCAGCAGATTAACACTTAAATTGAGTAATTAATGCAGTAAGCAGAATTATTAAGGAAATCAGTAATTATATGTCGCTTCCCCGATATATTAAGTTTCCTACAAACTTTCTTTTTCACTTAAACTTTTTTTGTTGCTGCATTTTGCAATCCAAAACTACAGAATCCTAGAGCATATTACGACAAAAATAATCTCATTTTACTTACGGATATAAGAAAACAGAATGAAATGAAACGTGACTAGTACGTAGATTACTAGGTTATATTCAATGCAGTGTGCCACTCATCGTGAGAAAGTGGAATTCCTCTTCTTTCCTTCTAGATAAAATGTTTTAAAAATGATACCGACTAGACATCCAATAACATTATTAGCAATATTGGTTACGATCTTGTTTCATAACTATTATTGTTACCATGAAAGAAACAGAATACGATTTCACATATGCATGTTGGTATCATTTAAAGTCTTAATAATATTTTTATTTAACTATGGCCAAAACAATGTAGAAATAGAGGAGATCTAAATGAAAACAAAAACATTTGATGTCCTCGCAAATCGTCAAGGATATGGCAATATGGTTTTATTGAAACATATAGTTATAATTATGGTGTGTCTGTATTCCTATATAATTAGAATCCGTCAAAAGGTTGCTGTCCATATACGTAATATGCCTCGTTCCACATTGCCATTTCTTTCTTTTTTTTGCCGTATTTAACTTGAATAGTCTCGCCTATATCTAGATCGGCATATTGAGTCTAGATACTCGAGGCCATCTTACTTTGAGCAAGCTATCCGCTGGATTTGGGGTGGGGTTTCTAGTATCCAAAAAATTAGTTCCTGAACACTCTCTGAACATACCACTTACAGAGTCTTCGCGAAGTTGGTCCACAGCCTGGCCATTTTCCGTCTCATTAAAAACTCTCCTCTCGTAGTCAATTCATGTCCAGTCGTATTGAAAAGATAGTACACATCTTCACCATGTCCTAGTTTACCGACACCTAAAATTGAATGAGTTTGCATCACCTCCGTATAATCTCTATTTAGAGATACCTTCTACTATGCCGTGGCTTACTGCTCCGAAATATGAGAATTCATAAAAATACAACTTTATGCACTTTGAAATTTGTACATTTGAAATAAGTACAACCAAATACTCGGAATAACCTCAACTATACTTCCTGATAATGAAGTACGAATGGTGATATGTTTAATAGAAATGGGAAAATTCCTAAACCGGAGGCACTATACATGAAAGTGTTATGATTGAGTTCATTTGAGCCCCATTTTTTTGGAGATGCAATTCTAAAATTTATTTTGAGCAAAAACACAATTCAGATTAAGCATCTGTGAGAAGAATGTAGCTTTTTTTAATTACCAACTAATACCTTCGTTCAAGTAGTAAATGAATGAGTTGTAAATTTGACAAATTTTGATCAAGCCTACTTACAAGAAAATAGCGACATCATAAATTTAAGTGTTATCGGTTCTATGGCCATTGCCTCCACATAGTCCTCCATTCCATATTGAACAAGAAATAATAGGAAGGGAAGATCGCAAGAAGAGAAAACAATAGATGACTAATGAGATATTAACGCTGGTGGACGTGAGACGAAAGCTAAAGAACAATAATGAGTATAGAAGAATCCAAGAAGAAATCAAGACTGCGAAGGAACAGTGGCTGACAATGCAGAGAAGTCGAAGAGTTCCAGAAACAACCTAAATATAGGGAACTTCACGAGAAAATTGAAGAAGCTGCAGGTTTCTGGACGCCCAAAAATATGTCCTTGGTAACAAACAAGAACAACAATCGAATTAGACCCTGTTAGACAAAAATTAATCTGGGAGCAATACTTGAGAGAATTGTTTGGAGACGAAAGACCTCAGGATGGGCCAATTATCGAAAAGAGATACAACCTTACAATTCTCATGTCAGAAGTAGCCCGATCAATCGCAGAAATTAAAAACAATAAATCAACAGGCGAAAATTCTACGCTACCAGAACCAGTTAAACACCTTGGCGACGACGCTATAAATAGACTGACTCACATTCTCAATGCAATTTACGAAGGCGGACATATACCCCACGACTGGCTAAGATAAACTTATATACCTCTGCCCAAAGAGCACAAAGCGAGGCAGTGTGAGGATCACAGAACAATCTGCCTGATGAGCCACGCATCAAATATTCTGATGAGAATCATTTCAACCAAATCCGCTCCAAATGCGACTAGTACGGGTTCAGAAGAGGTACAGGAACAAGAGAGGCCTTTCTTTAATCTTAATGGCCGAAAGATATTTGGAAGTGAGAAGGGAACTCTATGTCTGTTTTGTGAACTGCAAGAAAGCCTTTGATCGCATGCATCAAAAACTAATAGAAATCCTGAAAGAAATCGGGTTGGATAATCACGATATAATTATGATAAGCAACATGTACTGGAACCAAAAGGGATGCGTTTGAACAGCAGACGGTAACACTTCCTATATAAAGATCGAAAGAGGTGTCCGCCATTGATGTTTCCTCTCCCCGTTACCCCGTTAGAGGACCTCGCCGAAGGAGAAAAATACGCAGATGTGTACATTAGTCACAGGGGAATCGGAAGAACAGCTGCAAACGTTGATGAATATATTAACGGAACGTAGTTCCAGAATGGAACCTCCATACCTCAAAGGTCAAGACTATAGTGTTTAGTGGGGCTCCACCAGAACAACAAATAAATATTGAAATTAATAACATCACCCTTCAAAATATAGAGAGCCACATATACTTGGGCAGATAAATCAATAATCATCTCGACCATTCGAGAGAAATCAAGAGACGCATTGAGATGGCTAGGGCGGGTTTCGTGGATATGCGTAGCCTGCTCTGTAACCCACGTTTGTCGATTGGAGTAAGATTGAGGACAATCAAGTGCTATGTATGGCCGTTGCTTTTATATAGATGTGAGAGCTGCACTTTAAAGCGGGAGGATCTCAGGATGCTGGAAGTGTTTGAAATGTGGCAATATAGACGAATTCTACGCATAGGCTGGACTACTAGAACGACCAATGTAGAAGTACCCTCCCCCAGATAACGAACACATCAAAAATCAGAAAAACAACCTATCTCGGTCATATAATGTGACAGAATATGAACAAATATAACTAATACAGCAAAGGAAGATTGAAGGAAAACGAGGTATGGGAAGAAAAAAGAAACTTAAGAGGCTGGACAAACACAAATAGTAACCTTAATCTAATAAGCCCAACATAGAAATGAATTTGCCATGGTGATCGCCAACCTCAGCAGAGACGGCACCTAAGAGGAGGAAAATGTATTAAGGAAGTGTTAACTATCATTAAGCATTCCGAAATAAATGAGTGCACACACTGTTTCGCCAACGTTTGTCATCTCTTTATTTTGTTTGTAGATAAAGTATATTTACCTCAATAAATGTAGAGGTGTTTCCTAGGAATGTCCCGTTACCAGCGTACACACTTTTGATTTTACGCGCAAGTAGGTCCAAATTTGTACCAGGTTTTGGCTTCAGGTTTGGCGGTATTATTATTCTTGGATTCATATCATAACCCAGGGAGAAAAGTGCAAGAATTCCAGGAATCACTAGAAAGTGATTTACAATATTAGATAAGCGCCAAATTTAGGTACTTTTGAGGACTTTTGACAAAATACTGTTTCGTTTACTTACTTCGCAGAATTGTAACTGATTTTTCCGATGTTGTTCCTATAATCAATGGAATTCGATTGATGTTTCCACTTTTCACGAGGTCGTAACTTAGTTGGCTCATATACACATCTTTATGTGGCACTTCAATTACCGGTCCTGACTAAATGACAAAGTTTTAATTATGTGTGGATGATTTTGAAATACTTGACACGCATGTAAAATTAAATTTTACAATTACGTATTCGCCATTTTGTTATAACATTTACATTTCAAGTCTATATAAACAAACTCTGTCCCAGAACATACCCATATATAAACATGTAAAGAGGATTGGCAATGTGATTGAATGTTGAATATATATACTTACTTCCGAATTTACATTAAAAGCTTCCGTCAGAACATTAGCTGACTGATTTAGAAAAAAGTCTCGAATTTCTATCGTCGTGTTGTGATCGGAAATCATGGGATCTATGGCCCTGGCGATTTCGTAAGCTGCTTTTCTGGGATTACTTTGAGATGTGAAACTCGTTTTCGTCAACGAACAGCCGCTCTGACAAATAGCGGCTCTATATAACCCAGACGATTTCTCGCTCACTATGTGTGCCCCAACAGACATACCGCCAGCACTCTCACCGAATATGGTAACCTTCTTTCGATCTCCACCGAAGAACTCGATATTTTTTTGTGTCCATTTCATAGCCAATAGCTGATCTTTTAATCCCGCGTTGCCCAAAATAACCTTGTCCTCGGTAGACAAAAAACCAAATATTCCCAAACGATAATTAATCGTGATTACAATAACGTCTTCGTTCGTCAGTGCATACGGATCATACAGATCATCATTTCCACATCCTGCCTTAAATCCTCCCCCGTGTATCCAGAACATGACAGGTAATTTCTCTGTAATCTGATCAATTTTTATCAGTCAAACGTACCCACAAACTGAGGTCAAGTTTAAAATAGACGTACTTTTCGCGCAGGAGTGTAAACATTGAGAAATAAACAATCTTCGCTTTGTTTTGTTAATTTGTGAAATACTTAACAAGTTATTCACAAGTTATAAAAAACATACCATTGGAAAATATTCTCGATATCACAAACAAAGCATTTCCACTCACCGCAAATGAAATGGTTCCAATCCCAAGTAATAACAGGCAATGCATTCTTTATTTTAATTTTTAAGCCTCGATTTACATTACATTTATATGCAGTTTACAGGTACTGATAAAAGATAAATATTTAGTCTGCTAAAAAACAATTTCGCGAACGGTTACTTTATTTGCATTTTGAATGTTGTCGAAGGCATGCAAAGGTGAATCAAATCGAAATCGAACTAACCAATACAGTAGAATAGATCGAATCGATAAGAAGCAGAAAAGACGCAAAAGAAAGGTGAAGCGTCTGCCAGTATGACAGAAGGAAGTGGTGCTCCCTACACTCAGTCTTCACTCGACTAGACTTAAGCCTGCGCGTGCAAAATAAATATAATTCTAACTTCCATAAATAGCTTAAAGCTTGTCCCTAATCACCACACACACGGTGTGAAGTTTAGACTTTCCTTCCATTTCTTTCAAACTTGCGGTTATGCTCCACGACTGAGAATTCAAGAAATATACTAAAGCTCGTCTGGTTATGTACGAAAAACGATAAATATAAGAATTAAAAAATTAGATATGTATTCAGTCGACTGTTTTGGTAATTATGTGTTATGGCAAGTTTTGTTTAGTATACCTGGTAAGTTACAGAAATTGTGTATTATGTATTTTTTCGTTTTGAATTATACATGTTTCTCTTTTAGCGATCAAGCTGTTGATTATCGCAATTATAAGAACGTGACTATTGCTAATTATTATTTACAAATTTACAACAACAAAACAGCTTTATCATGGTTTTAAAATTATAAAAATAGGTCTTACAAACCACGTATTATCATTGACACACTTAAAATTTACACATTAATACTAAAACACGTGATAGGCTAATTACGTTTTAGAATTTTAATATTTTTCTTTACGTATTTTGCATTCCAATTTAATTTATGTATTTGGATTTTACCTTTACATTACACTAATTCGTAAAGAGATTCCGTTTTTTTTTTTTTCAATTTTATTCTTCTTGAAATAGTCTTCTTTCCATATGGTTGCATTCCCGGTTAAGTTCTACTCTGTAATTTCTATTTAAGCCGAGCTTTAAATTTTTCTCTGCGTTGGACACAATCAATCATTGGGCTATCCACTCTTGAAACTTGTATGTGTTTGGTTTGAATCGGACGTCGGATGGAAGCTTGTTTGAGAAGCTCATTAAAAATCTTTATAAAAATAGATAAAAAAATACATCAGTCCCATTAACTTGATACTGACAAATAGTCCTGTGCTATTATATTATTTCTTTAACTTAGGATTATCGGGAGCCGAAAATTGTTCTTTTTGAGTTAAATATTCAACACAACGATCTGTTGAATCAGAATTCAACTTCAGAGGTCCTTCCATCTCCAATGTTGGACGCAGACTGTCCAGTATACAACCACTAAGTTTTAAGATGTAACTAAGGCGTTTCCTAAAAGTTTCCTTATCCCATAAATACGACTCGACGAACAGTTCGGTTCACTCTGCATCAAAATAAACCTGCCAAACACCATCACATCTGATATATTTGAATTGGAGTGCATGCAATGTTTCAGATTGTAATTAAGTGTAGCAATAGTTTAAACCCTCTCGCCAGTTTTGATTGACATGAAAACAAATCGAAGATGAGAAAACTATATGCAAGAGATCAAAAAAAGTAGAAACGGGTGCGCGGGGCTGACGGCGAGCGAGGCGAAAACGGGTTAGACTTAACGGAAGCGTTAAAAGAGCGCTCCACACTAGTTTAAAATAAATAAATTATATATATATATATATATATATATATATATATATATATATATATATATATATATATCCTCTGTGGTTGAGCAATCCATGAGGCGCGTCCCCCGGGTGGCGGATGGGGGAGCCCAGGCCCTCACGGGCCTGGGTGGCTGGGAATAAGGAGGCATGAGGAGGTAAAAATCCAATAGGGCTGACAAATAACCAGTCGTGGACCAGCTCACCCTGCCCAGCTGTCGTGTCGTGGTTAAGGGCCTGCACAGGGTATAACGGTGCCAACTGGCTTGTAGTCGGTTGATAAACCAGGCGTCGGGGCCGGCTCGACGAGTGGGCATGCGACGCGGGGGGTCTGAGCTTCACCACTTGGACCAAGAGGAGTAAACCTCAATAAAATCCTAAATCCTACGGTGGGGGGTCGGGCCTAGGGGATGCATGGCTGAATAGAAGATCAGTCTCTACCGATCCCAACCCCGAGGCACCGGGCGCACCTCGAGGAAGGAAGCCTTACCTCTGCATGCGGGGCTCTGCAGAGGTGGACCGTTATGTTTCCCTAGCTACTCGTGGGACCTTTATGGAACCAAAAATGAAATGCGAAGAAATGAAGAAGGAGGAGGGGCCCCAGGGGGCTCCAGCAAGCAGGGGCGTCCTCAGGAAGGCCCCCTCCAAGGGCGATCCGAACAGGATCCCCAGGTCGCCAGCGGGGTGGAGGGCTCGGTACAAACCGGGAACACCACCTCGATGACACACCGCCCCAGACATAGGAGTGGGGCGGAAAAAAGGAGGGCGAAGAAGAAGAGACTCGCGGTGATTGTTTCGGAACCGCAGACGGGCTCTCTTCCGGCGCCCAGGAATCCTGCCACGCCGTCAACAGAGGGCTCCATAGGGGGCACACCAGAAACGGCAGGCGGGAAGCGGAAAAGAAAAATGGGAGAGACCACCCAGGTTGGGGCACCTGCCGGAGGTCGGCAGCCGACACGCGGCCCGGCGAAAGCCCGGGAAAGGCGGGCTGTCCCGGGGGGGGCTCTGAGAGGGGGGCTCGGTCCTATGCACCAGCGGCGGCGGGGGGCCTGAACTGGTGGTGGGCCTCAGAGGACAGGTAACTGACCTGTCTTCCGAGGACCTGCTGCGGTTCATAGGGTCTCTTAACCTCCGCATAAGCATGTACATCATGCAGGGGGGGCAATACACCCCTCCCCGGATACGCTCGGTTAGGCTGTGGAGGAGCCACATCCTGATCGAGATGATGGATGAAGAAACCAGGGAGTGGGTTCGCAGGGAGCTGATTAACGTCAGGCCCTGGGGGCTCGCAAACCTGGTGGAGGTCGATCCGGAAGGATTGAGACTGAGAAGGGCGGCGATATGGATTCCGGGCCTGGGGGCGGGTGTCTCGAATGAGGCACTAGTCCGCTGCCTGGCAGCTCAGAATGGCCTAGATTGCCGTGCCTGGAGGGTCTGGCAGAGGACGGAGGATGCAAGGGGCACAAGGTTGGTGGTGGGCGTGGACGAGAAATCGGCAAGCGCCATCACGGCTAAGGGCTCACTTCTCTTCTGCCTGGCGACACAGGTAAAAGTGAACCTGGCGGCGCCGAGGCCGCAGGGGGATTAGGTGGCCGCGGGGGGTTCACACGAGGAGGGCTCGTCCATGGAGGTTGGCGGGCCTGTCGGAGAGGCGGCGCCCACGGCTTCTGTGGAGGAGACCTCCGGAGGGCCCTCCGAGGAAGCGAGAACCGAGGAGGTATCTCGGATGGAAGTTGACCGGGGAATCCCATCAGGGTCCACCATTCAGGAAGCGGAAGCGGAGGGAGGTGCTACCTCGGGCTCGGATTCGGGCTGAGGCTAGCATCGTGACCCGCAGGTGGTATTCCCACATTAACATCTTCACGGGGATATTACAGATTAACCTGCAACACAGCAGGGCTGCAACGGCCCACTTATGCAAGAAAATTTCGGAGGGCGGTACATCCATTGTACTGATCCAAGAGCCCTGGATTGTAAAATCAAGAGTTAGGGGCTTATCTCTGGGAGGATCGATGCTGCATAGTGTCGACTCCTTAGAGGGCGGTCCCAGGGCCTGTATTTTAACCATGGGGCTGGAGGCCTTTTTCCTAAGGGACAAGGCGTCCAGGGACCTGGTTCCAGTTCTGGTCAGATCCCCCACTCGGGACGGCGTGAGGGAGGTAGTGGTCGCCTCTGCGTACTTTCCAGGCGACCGCAGCTGTCCTGCGCAGGAGATCAGTGACTCGGTCTCCTACTACGAGGAGGCGAATCTTCCTCTTTTGATTGGCTGTGACAGCAATGCTCACCACGTTTTGTGGAGCAGCGCAGCAACGAATAGAAGGGGCGGAGACCTCGTGGAGTTCATGACCTCTGCAGGGCTGCAGGTGGCCAACAGAGGGGTAGAACCCACGTTTTTCACGACGGGTCGGAGCTCGGTCATAGATCTAACACTTTGTACCAGGGTTCTGCTAGCGGAAATAACTGGGTGGTGTGTCTGTGGGGAGGACTCTATGTCGGACCATAGATACATCACCTTTGGGTTGGAGATGGGTGTTCGGGAACCCGTTAGATTTAGGAACATCCGGGCAACAAACTGGGAACTCTATAGAGAGGAACTCGCTTGGCGCCTAGGGGGCTTACCAAGGAAACACCGCACAATGGAGGACATTGACGAGGCCGCCGACCGAGTCAGCTCCGCTATGATGCGGGCGTTCGAGATTAGTTGCCCTGAGACAGAGGTGCATAGGGAGCTCTTCCCTGGAGCGTCTCAGGAGGAAAGTGCGGAGGCTCAATACAGCGAGGAGCAGCAGCCAAGGTGCGGACTGGGATCTCTATAGGGAGGTCCGCAGATAGTACAAAAAAGAACTACGGGCATCACAGAGGAGGGCCTGGAGGGGCTACTGCGACGGAGTAATGAATACCCCGGACGCGGCTAGGCTCCTTAGGGTACTCAGAAGTGACCCTGCGGGAAGACTGGGGGTGGTCCGCAGGACCGGCGGTGGCTACACAGCGGGACCAGCGG